GAAATGAAATCATGAGACATAAAGGCGAATACACGTATAAGTATACGTGTTTAACGGAGCGGCGGTTAGCTCTGCATCGTGGGAGTTTGTGCTTAAATAAATTTCTCATTTTTGATATTTTATATGATATTTTTGACATTTTATATAATTTTAGATATGCATTCATTTTTACTTTATTAAAAGTGTTTTTTTTTGTCTTATTAGATTTTACTTATTTCAAAGTAAGCTCTAATTAATAGATTCATGAAAACGTACACGTTTGCTAACTAGCAAATTATTATGTTATAACGAGTTTGACATCAACTCGTTATGTCTCTCTCTCTATATATATAACTATAATATTCAGAATATCATATATATACGAGGATCGTTTGAAAAGTCCGTGCAAAAATAATAACTGCTTGATTTTTTAAAGTAAATCTTTGTTATTTTTCAACATAGTCTCCTTTTAGGCTTATACACTTCATCCAATGCTGCTCTAGTTTGTTAATCCCTTCCAAATAATAGGATTTATCCAAGTCTTTAAAATAGGCATTCGTTTCTGCAATCACCTCCTCGTTTGAATAAAATCTTTTCCCCGCCAGCCATTTTTTTATATTAGGGAACAAATAGTAGTCCCACGGAGCCAAATCTAGAAAATAGGGGGGATGTGAAACGAGTTGGAACCCTATCTCCATCAGTTTTGCGACCACAACTACTGAGGCGTGAGCTGGCGCATTGTCGTGGTGGAAGAGAACTTTTTTGTGGGCCAATCGTGGATGTTTCTCTAGCAACTCGATTTTTAAACGATCCAATAACGATGAATAATATTCGCCTGTAATGGTTTTACCCTTTTCCAGATAGTCGATGAAGATTATTTCTTGCGAATCCCAAAAGACAGTCCCCATAACTTTCCCGGCCGAATTGTCTTCGCCTTTTTCGGAGCAGATTCCCCCTTGGTAACCCATTGTTTAGACTAGTCTTTGGTCTCAGGAATGTAGTGATGTATCCATGTTTCATCTACAGTGATGAAACGACGCTTAAAGTCTTGCGAATTTTGCTGGAACAGCTGCAAACCATACATGCACACTTCACACGATCTCGTTTTTGGTCAATCGTGAGCAATCGCGGCACCCTTCTAGCGGATAGCTTTTTCATGTCCAAATGTTGGTGCAAAATATTATGTACCCGTTCGCTCGAGATGCCTACAGTACTAGCAATCTCACGCACTTTCACTCTTCTGTCAGCCATCACTATATCATGGATTTTATCAATGATTTCTGAAGTGGTAACATCAACAGGGCGTCCAGAACGTTCAGCGTCTTTTGTGCTCATATGGCCACTCCGAAAATTTTGAAACCACTTATAAACCATTCTAGTCGAAGGTGCACAATCACCATAATGTTTATCAAGCTTCTGTTTAATCTCCTGAGGTATTTTGCCTTTGAAAAAGTAATGTTTAATCAATACACGAAATTCTTTTTCGTCCATTTTTTTACAACCACTCGATTTCTTTGATTGAATCGAATGTAAAACGCAAAGTAATTGGCCTATCTGACTGAAACTTGGTGTGTGCTCTTCCAAGATATGCCACTAACTGAAAATAACCTTGATACGTACTAGTAGCGCCATCTCTCTGACTTTGCACGGACTTTTCAAACGACCCTCGTATATGTTATATTATTTGAATTATATTTCTCCTTAGCAGCAGCAGACAACGATTGCGGAGAAGGTAAGAGAGAGCGCCGGCAGAGAGAGACCGCGTGCGCGTGTAGGCTTAGCGACATGTATGACGAACCGCACGCCGTGCGCCGCGTGACGAAGGGCCAGCAATTAGCTGATAGCTCGCGAGCCGTGTAGAGGCATTCGTTCGTGCGTGCGCTTGTATTAGCATTTTTGTTAGAGAATCGCCTCGTGGCAACAGAGAGACTTTCGACTGTGATAAGTGAAAGAACTGCAACTGTGCGTGCAATACCTCTCCTTCTTTGCGACAAGCGATAGCCTAGTTAGGCGAATTCTGCAATCGTTCCGAATCGTAATTGAGGGCCTTCGATTAATGTAAGTACCGACCGTTCCTTAGATCTCTCTCTCGTTTTGCCTATCTCGCCGCTCTCTCTGAACCGCCCTGTACACTAACGTACATAAACTTTATATATTCGTATACTATTAAAACTGCATGGCTTTTCTTTCGTACTGCCTTTCCTTCCTATCGCTTCCCTTAACTTTCGTGATTTAAGCTGTGTGACCTACGACGCTCTCTGCGGACAGTCTTATTAACATCTTTTCCGAATCGATACGAAAAGATACTTTTTTTGTTTATTATGTTTGCAATTATTATGGCAATTTTCTTGAATGTCCCGCTACACATTAATATTTTCTCAATAATTTGCTAAAACATATATGCTCTATTTGATTCTAAATTTAAGTATAAATTAAAAATATAATTACGTCCTGTTATTGGATCAGGTCTAAAATCACATCCTGGAAATCTTATGCCAATTGTTAATTCATGCTCAGTAAGTTTGCCTATATTATTACATCTGACTATTAGAAAAAACAGATGACAAGAACGACTGCGCAGGCGCAGTTATCTGTGCGTAGATAATAAGATATGGCGCAGTATATACGAAGCAGATAATCATCTGCATTCCAGATAACAGCTTGGAAGAAAAGAAAATAAGAAATCGGGCTATTCGTAATGCTTCGGGGGAAAAAATAATAATAAAAGAATATAACAAATAAAATCACATAAGGCTTTAGCTTATTGGACTCCCAATAAAATAAAATGGATGTGCAGGAACTAATTATTTTACATTTTATATGAAAAAAGGAATTGGAAAATTGTACACCCGAATTCGTTGTGTATAGTGTCGCGTAATCCGGTCCTTCGGCATTCATGCCAGAGGGCGCTGTCTCACCCCATGATTATTATAATATATTTGTAGGTTCTAGCATAGTTCACAGATATAACTGTAACTGTATATAGTTGCGATATAGTATAAATAATATTTAATAATAATAAATTCTTAATTTATTAACCTATTCTCAATCCTATTTTATCCTTAATTTCCAATTTTGCACATTGCTTTATCTTCGGATGTAATCCTTCACGGCCTACGTGAGCGCCCTTCTGTAATTGTACAATCAATCAGAAGTGAAAATACTAATTTAAGTATAGTACAAATAAATTGCTCGGTATTCGTGAAGTTGAAAGGTTTGGTTCGGTGTAGATACTCGGTGGTTAGTAATTATTATTAGTATTATTATTAGTTATTTGGTATGGGAGGTGGATTTGTAGGTATAGATATTTAAAGTTTTTTAAGTATTATCTTAATTTCATTAACTTTAATTTTCTCGTATTTATTTTATGTCTGCTCCTTTTGACTTGTACATGATGTTTCTTAAATTACTCTTCGAAAATGTGGAATGGAACTAAAACGTGGTCCTGGTAAAGAGCCCATTATATCAAAACTTCCCTTGACGATATCGGAAATTGGGATCTTTTTGTTATCAAAAGTTATGACTTCAGCTTAATTTTCAGACTTCTAAACCGACATGGGTTAAGAATGGGCGCCATTTTGTACATAACAGGTTTTCATCTATATTTTGGTCAATTTTGCAGCTACAAAAATATTATTTTTTGTAGATTGTAGGATTTTGCAAACTTTACGAATACGTAAAGTAAAAAAAAAAATTTTGGCGTGAAATAAAAAATTTTGCGGTCATTTTAAAGTTTGAATTTGCCGTAATTTTGTATAGATTTATAGGTGTAACGCAAAAAAATTACTTTATATTTTTTGTTTTAGAAACAAAATGTGTAGATTTTTTCATATTTTTGAAATTGATGAAAGGGGGATAAAAATTTAAAACTCTCATTTTTTATGATTTGTTAATCTTACATAACTTCTATATTTATATACATATATATAAGTATGTATATAGGTGTGTATGTATAGATTATGTATAACAAATAAGAAAAATATAATAAAGCAATTTTAAAAAACAATTATTTTAATTTACATTTTGAACACTGCAACGGTAGTCGATTTGATCCGTTTACGATTCGGTAGCACTCGCGATGCTAGAGCGAACCAGCGATGAGCATTCGGTCACCCATCCCAAACTTCTCTTTCTCCTATTCATAACGCATCTAGGTTTGTTGTACATTTGTGGCTGTTCTATCATTATACCGTGTCTGGATTCCGCGTTTCAAATTAGTTTTGTTTAAAAGAGGGAAAATAAGAAATTTTTCAATTGTATAATATATAGCTATTGTTTGATCATCAGCATATTAAATTGATGTTAACCTCGGGAAGTACTGGCTATATATTTTCAAGTACAATTCGATGTAGCCTAGTAATAAGTGTAAAAGTCCAAAGAAAGAAGTATTGTAACAAATATAATTTATATTCTCATACTATTTTATAAAGAATTAAGAAAAATATAAACATATCATAAATTGTCAAATCCTAATTATTTTATTCTTATTTGAGCTCTGTAAATTCATATAGGTCATATAGTAAATTTAGTAAATTATAATTCTTGTTTGAAACATTTTCTTTATTATAACTAGAACAGCTGATAATAAATGAGTCAATAAATATAAGATAATTATATTTAGAGTGTAATACCGAATTGAAATTTCCGGAGCAAATTGAACAGAATGGAAAGAGTTGACTTCGGTCCAAACAGAGTCTAACAATGAAAATGTTGAAAGTAATTGTGAAACAGTGTGAAAGTATGTTTAATTATTAAAATTTTATAAATTGATATTTATTGTTTTTAATTTTTTTTAATTTAGATATTACAGGTCTGAACCAAATGCTGAAGTATCAAAACATACTGCTAACGATAACAGTAACATAAAGGCAACTCTTTATATTCTATTCAATTTGCTCTAGAAATTTTAATTCAGCATTACGCTTTAGACATTATAATTATAATTATTAAAATTAAAATTTGTCTGTCCCATACTTAAATGAATAATTTCATAAATTAATTCTTATTAAAATTTTTTTTAGGTCAAAATATGAAAAAAAGTTCAATGTCAGAATCATCATCAGATATCATGGAATTAGAGGAAGGTATTTTATTACGACGTTCAGGTATTATAAAAAAATCCAACTACAATCCTCATTACAATAATAACGTACATCTTGCCTGTATAAGTATTGAGACTGATGTCTGACTAAAAAGGTAATAAATGTTATATACATTGTAAATAAATTTCTTATGGAACATGTTATTTATTAGCGAGATTGTATATTTTTTTATTTTTATATTTTTATATTTGATATTTTTTTTAGGAAGTTTTTAGGAATAAATGATAATATTTCAAATTCATTCGACACTCTGTGCTGAAAGTACTTACTTTCCGCACGTTCGGCCAAAAACGTGCGATCAAAAACGAGCTTTTCACGCGCCGTATTGAAAAACACGATAAGATACATGTTTGGGAAAGAGAGTCTCGTCTTTTGTGTCTTTTTACCCACGCTTCACTCAGCCCTAAACGCCACACCAGACGAAAATGTACTTTCCCGTACTTATATCGTAATGTACTATTACACCCTGTATGTAACTTATGTTGAACACAATTTAACAAATAATTATTAACATAGTCGCTGCTATCTTTAATGTACGTTTATACCAGTTGAAACAAACACTATCTGATTCCAAACAGTTTTTTTCTGGATATTCAGATTGAAGTGAGACTGTCAAGTGCCTCATTCCTCTGAAAAGTATTTTACTACTTTTGTATGTGGCTTTTATATGGACATATAAAAAATCCGGACATTTTACTCGTTTTATAGAAAAAACTCATCTTCATTAGTATCTAATTCGAGAACAAAGTTTGACTATCAAATTGTATAAGAAATTTTACAAGATGCTTATTCTCTCACACGAAATCAAATGTTTAATGTCGAAATTCAGTAAAAGGATTACTTCTTACTGAAAACTATTTCGGAATGTACCCTTCACTAGAATTTAGAAAACTACAATGTTTGCCATCTGTTATCATTGATACTCTTAGACAATTCGATTTAAACCATACATTTTTCGGTGCCATATACGTGCTCGTATACTCGAATTATATCACTACAGTTTATACCTAATTTATGTCATAAATTGTGAGATCACTATTTGGTTAGCTTCAACGTTTTCATCTGTTGTTGATGTGCTGGGACATCCAGGGCAAGATTCGTCTTCGCCATTCTCTCGGTCTTTTTGGAACAGCTTATACCACTTACACACATTTTTCTTACTCAGAGTAGACTCACCGTATGCAATTGTCAACATTTCAAGAGCTTTACCCTATTGAAAAAATCCAGCTGGAAATCCAGGCTGGATTTCCACATGGATATCCAGGTAGATTTCCAGGTGGATTCATATGGATTCCATATGGATTCCAGATGGATTTTTTTGAAAATCCAGGTGGATTTATCAATCTGGATTTGACGTGAAGTAAAATTTCAAATAATAAATAAATAACGTATTGGTTATCAGTATATAAAATTTTACTAATAGGTTCTATGGAGGATGAATTATAAAAAAAAAAAAAAAAAAAGTGTCTTGACCAAGGCTTGAACCCGGGATCTTTATATTATCAGACTTGTCTTTTACCACTTTGCTATCGATGACTGTTGGGATGCATTCGTTTTCTTTCCTATATCACGTGCAACTTGAAAGTTGCGAATAAGCCATATTTCTACTTATTGTATTGTTCATCTCTGATTATATGCATGAGTTTCAAATTAAGGACGTCGTCTGGTCCATTTCAAATAATGACAGAATTTACTGAAACTCAAACTGATCATCGTTTGAAGTCTTCTGTACTCACACCAGTTTTTTTGGGACATATAGTATAGTACTACATAAAGAGAAATATGATGTTTAACATGTGCTCTTATGAGACGGCATCGAAATTATGCGTAAAAAAATAAGTGCACTTATGGGGCAGTGTCAAAACTATAAGAAAAAAATGTAAGCTGCTAACGCCGAGACAGCGATGATGACTTAAGAGAGCCTTCTTATAATAAGGAAAAAAAAGTAAAAATAATGAGCGTTAGACTCGCAGGGTACTTCGGTTGTGGCTCTCGTGGTTTACCTGTCTGAGTTGTAGCGCTGTTACAGATTACGGTTTTCTTTCTAAAGGAAAAAAATTAAAATAATAAGCCTAAAACTCGCAGGGTATAGGGTTAGAAAAGAAAAGCACTAATCTGAAACAACGCTACAACTAAGAGAGGTCAAACTCGAGAGCCAAAATCCAAGTACCCTGAACCCTGCAAGTTTTACGCTACATATTTTTTCTCATGCTCCCGGTGAAATATAAAATTTTACGCTCGATATTCTTACACGCATTTTCCATTAAGAAAAAAAAAATAGAGCCGACGCTACACCTACGCCGGCTATTTCCGGGAGCCGATACCAAACTACCCTGGACCCGCCGAGTTTTACGCTCATAATTTTCTATTTTTTCCTGTAGAAAAAAAAACATTAATTTGAAACAACGCAACGACTCAGAGAGGTAAACCACGACAGTCATAACCCAAAAATCTTGTACCCTGCGAGTTTTACGCTCATGATTTTTACTTTTTTCTTAAAAAAAAACACTAATCTAAAACACCGCTGTAATTTAGACATGCAAACCACGAGAGCCAAAATCCAAGAACCCTGTACCCTGCGAGTTTGGTGCTCATATTTTTTTTATATTATACCTAATATTTCGTAAGTATATGTTATATTTTCTGTAGGTATTTCTATGAAAGCAAATAATTTTTGAATAAATAGAGCTAAATTTCTTAAAATTTTGTTGTTGATCTTGATCAACAATTAAAAGCCGAGATCAAATTCTTCAGAGTGAACAAAATTTGTTCAAGAAGAAAGAAAAACTCGTGTAAAAGTCTGGAGCATAAAACTCGGCGGGTCCAGGGTGGTTTGGTTTCGGCTCCCGGAAATAGCCGGCGTAGGTGTAGCGTCGGCTCTATTTTTTTTTTCTCAATGGAAAATGCGTGTAAGAATATCGAGCGTAAAATTTAATTTTTCACCGGGAGCGTGAGAAAAAATATGTAGAGTAAAACTTGCAGGGTTCAGGGTACTTGGATTTTGGCTCTTGAGTTTGACCTCTCTCTGTTGTAGCGTTATTTCGGATTAGTGTTTTTCTTTTCTAACCCTATACACTGCGAGTTTTAGGCTCATTATTTTAATTTTTTTCCTTTGGAAAGAAAACCGTAATCTGTAACAGCTCTACAACTCTGACAGGTAAACCACGAGAGCCTGCGAGAACCGAAGTACCCTGCGAGTCTAACGCTCATTATTTTTACTTTTTTTTCCTTATTTTAAGAAGGCTCTCTTAAGTCATCATCGCAGTCTCGGCGTTAGCAGCTTACCTTTTTTTCTTATAGTTTTGACGCTGCCCCATAAGTGCACTTATTTTTTTACGCATAATTTCGATGCCGTCTCATAAGAGCATATGTTAAACATCATATTTCTCTTTATGTAGTACTATACTATATGTCCCAAAAAACTGGTGTGAGTACAGAAGACTTCAAACTATGATCATTTTGAGTTTCAGTAAATTCTGTCATTATATGAAATGGACCAGACGACGTCCTTAATTTGAAACTCATGCAAATAATCAGAGATGAACAATACAATGAGTAGAAATATGGCTTATTCGCAACTTTCAAGTTGCACGTGATATAGGAAAGAAAGAGAATGCATCCCTACAGTCATCGATAGCAAAGTGGTAAAGGACAAGTCTGATAATATAAAGATCCCAGGTTCGAGCCTTGGTCAAGACACTTTTTTTTTGTTGTTTTTTTTATAATTCATCCTCCATAGAATCTATTAGTAGAATTTTATACACTGATAACCAATACGTTATTTATTCATTTTTTGAAATTGTACTTCACGTCAAATCCACATTGATAAATCCACTTGGATTTCCAAAAAAATCCATCTGGAATCCATATGGAAATCTAGCTTGGAAATCCATATGAAATCCATATGGAATCCATATGAATCCACCTGGAAATCCACCTGGATATCCATATGGAAATCCAGCCTGAATTTCCAGCTGGATTTTTTCGATAGGGTAGAGCACTGGATTCTATTTTTCACAAAAAATTTAATGCAAACTCTTTACTCCATTCTTTTCGATAGAAGAAAATCGCCGAGCACACCAAATACTTCTAAACTCTGACGCCTCTGCCAGAAAAACAACACGTGCTATATAGTCAGAACTGTGAATATATGATCGAGGTGAGTGTACCGACACAACAAAAATTCAAAACTTGAATGTACGTAGCCCGCAAAAATTGAAGTCACCTTACCATTTGAACACCCCTCGTATCTAACTATTAGGTTCTGTAATATAGTTGGTAAGCTATCAAATATATTTTTTTCAGCGCAAAATAAATGGCCTATTTCAGAAAAATGTATTTTTCATTTTATTAAAAAATGACCATAACACTTTTATTTTGCAAAATTTTTTATTCTTGAGAACGGCATTAGAAAGTACACTTACAAATCTATCTAATATTCCAGTTAAAAAATCCGAAACCACAGCGAATAGCCCAGGATTCAAAAATAATTTTTTTTTCCAAGAAATTGAAAACTTAAAGTCACAACTTAAAATAGTCATAAAAAATGCAATTTTAAAAACATCAACATAAAAATAATACGTATCGGCTTATTTTTTGAGTAGAACAAGTCGTTTATGTTTGAAAACTTTTGATGATATGTGCGCTATCAACCTGCCTTCGTAGATGCGGCACAATACAAAAATTTTCATGACAAGATTCTCGTTTAGATGAAACCTATGTAGACCTTCTCAGAGTAATACGAGGTGTGATCAAAAAGTGAGGTGAATTTTTATTTTTCTCAAAAAATATTTATTTATTCATCAATTTTTATTTTATCTCCTTCAAAGTAATCCCCCTCGGATATAATGCACTTGTGCCAACGCTTTTTCCAAACATCAAAGCATTTCAAAAAATCATTGTTTGTGATCTTGTTTAGTTCATCCTTCGATGCCGTCTTTATCTCCTCAATCGTGGCAAAACGCCGTCCTTTCATGGGCCTCTTCAGTTTTGGGAACAAGAAGAAGTCACAGGGGGCCAGATCTGGGGAATACGGTGCCTGTGGCATCGTTACTGTCTTGGTTTTAGCCAAAAATTCGCGCACAAGCAACGAGC